ACAGCCTCCAAGACTTTAGATCAGGTTACGTAAAAAATAATTTCTAGAAGTTCACTGATCATTAAATAATATATTCAAATAGCTAAAGTGTAAGGAGGAAATAAACATTTTATTACATATTCTCTATTCCCTAAAAATCCTTCACAGGCATATATTCACCAATATATTCTGTTACAAAGACTTCTCATTACTTAACTGTCAAATATCAAATTATAATGAAGTTATACATTTTTAAACACATGAAAAATAGGATAAGTTAGTTTTGACACACACTCTACTACAATTAAATCATGTGATAGAAAAAAAACAAAACAAAAATCTTACTGAAAATATAAGGTGAGAACTGCCAGAAAGCATCTGGAAAAGCAGCTTTAAACCGTGTAACTATAATTCACATTAGTATATTTTAAATGTTTAATGTGAATATCCTAAAGAACACAGGTGTTGCAAGATTTATTCCCAGAGAGGAGGTGATGACACTACCCAAAGAAAAAGGCTACCTAAATTTGGCATTTGTCACCAATATACAAAGGTACCTACCTTTATGCTAACGCTTGATAAACTTACTTTTTAAACTATACATATTCCAGTTTTATACACGTATATTGGCAAATAATAGCTAACTTTTATTAAGTGATCATGTGTCATGTACTGCTCTAAGTATGTTATGAGTATTAACTAATTTAATCCTACCAAAACCCTAGGAACATCAACATTCTATAGCTGAGAACACTGAGGCACAGACATGTAAACTGAAGCAAGCCTGCGCCACTGCAGAGAGCCTGCACTCTTAAGCACTACGTATGTTGCCAATATGCATCACACACCACAATGATAAACTATAGTAGTGGTAGTGATGACAGTGATGAAGATGTCAATGGTAACATAAAAAGTGTGTACAGCAGTCAAACCAAAAGGGCCTAAGGAAAAAATACACCCTGCAAACTATCCAAGAATTATACCATTTTAGATTTAGGAAGGACCTTATATATGGATTCTTATCCAAAAACATGCAGCTATTTAGTCCTTTCCATTTTTACATCTAAAATCTAGCATAGGTTCTTGACACATAATAGGTATTTAATAAATGATTAAACAAATCAATGAGCAAATGACTGAATAAATGTCTAAAAAAGTATTATGACTACCTAAGCTAATAACTATCACTCTAAAAGGGGAAAGCTGTGTCTCTACTTTAAATACCCAACTTTATCAAAAGACAGTCCTCTTCTAAATGTATTCCTTTAACTAGGATGATGCCAAAAATTCATACTGAGGCTAAGAATAAAAGTTCTTATAGATTTAAATGGGTTTAGCACAACTGTTACTCTGGTTCCTATACAGCATAAAGCACAATAAAATGGGCAGGTAGAAATTTTTGCTGCAAAATGAACACCAAGATATTCTTCTCAAAAATCAATTGGTATCATATATAAGAAAAGGATCTCTTCCCCCAATTTTACAAAATACAAAATCAAACTAATTTTGTGGATAAAATATAGGATCAAATAAACTTAGAGCTAGAAGGAGCTCAAGAAATGGTCTAGTTCTAGTCCAGCCATTCTTAGGCAAGGTTGCTCAAGAGTATTAGGCCACACAGAAAGTGACTATTTCCTCAGTTCTGCCAAGGATGGTGTGTGTACATAGCCAGTACCATTTCAGGTTCATAGAGAAGTTAACTTATTATATACAATGACTCAATGATACTAAGATTGGAGAAGTAAAAATAATTTCAATTGATTTAAAATTGAATTAACAATTATTACATGATTTGTTTTTGTGCAGTTTGAGTCAATTATTATTACTATGTTAGAGTCAGTACTAGAACTAAAGTTTTATTTTGTGCCTCACAAAAGTATATAACCAAAGCCTACAATATTTTTTCCTATTATGTTTTACCAATATCATGATTTTTCCTTATAGAATTTTGATAATTCCCATTGATATAGAATTTTATAATAAGACTGGACCCACAAAAAGGACCTATAATCACAACCATAATTAATGTATTAATGTATAATACTTGCTGATATAGTATCTAGTTTGAATTTTATAAATCAAGTAAAAAAAATTAAGTCTTTGATAACATGAATTTATTTTTGCTTATTCAGGTTGAGTATCCCTTATCTGAAATGACCAGAAGTGTTTCAGATTTTAGATTTTTTTTTTGTTTTGAAATAAATATTTGTGTTATCTTACTGATTGAGCATCCCAGATTTGAAAATCCAAAATGCTCCAATGAGCATTTCCTTTTAGCATCCTTGAATTCTGGAACATTTCAAATTTCAGATTTTCAGATTAGGGATACTTAACCTGTAATATGTATTGGTAGTGCTAACACATAAATTATAACTGTAATTTTTTATATTTAGAACAAGTATAATTTCTCGATATGGTTAATGGGTGTGATACACACCACTAGAATAACTAAAGACAAACTATAATTTATAAATCAGAATCAAACTTAAAGTAACTTAATGACATAAAAAATTATGTTGCAGAATTCTATATCACCTTTTCCCATTATAAAAACACTAAATAGGGCTATATGAACATTCTATTATGGAGATTTGGAGTCAAAAATTCTAGATGTAGGCCCCCAATGCTGTCTGTGACCTATTATACTTTAAAAAGCTTATATCTGTTCATATGCAGAAAAGAATACCAAATGTTAAACATATCTAGCATCTTCTAAACTGCTACATTTTTGCCACTGCGTTCCCTAAACTCATGCTGACATCCCACAATAACACTTCACCATAAAATTTCTATCTACTACAATGACTCACTCCAACAAAGTCAAATTAATCAAGTGACCTGATTCTAATTTTCAGTTTCAAAAAAATCTGAACATATTTATTTCGACTCACTCTAAATCTAAATATTTCTTCTAAGTGTTCAATTAGAAAAAAATAAATGGTCATTTTATAACTGGCTTTAAGACCAAAAAGAGTGTTGTGATACTAGATAAATGAGTAGACTGACCACAATGATCATTTCCTCTAAAAACACATTATTTTTCAAGCACTTTTGTATTTTTGTATTTCTTGATTTCTTGGGATTTTTCAGTTCATTTCTCAAGTGTATATTCAACTCTATTTCAATAAACTCTTTAATACAAAGCAAAACTGTGATCCTACCTGATGAAACTAATTTAATGATAGGTTAAAAATAAAGTATAACCTAAATTTGATGACTAAATATTAGAAATTCATGCAAAAAAATAAAACTGCAAATGAAATAGAAAAAAAGGTGATATATTTATATAGTTCTTAGAGGACAGAAGACATGAAAGTGATAAAAATTGATATATCTGATTTTCTGAAAATGTAAGCTTTCCATAATTAAAAAAGTCAGTATTAAAAAGGCACATAACAAGCAAAGACATATTTCTGACAAATGGTTGATCTCCTTTACAGAAAAAGCTCTTAAAAATGAAAAAAAAAGTATAACCAGTTTTCACCTATCAAATTTGCAAAGATTAAAAACAATCATAGTACCTAGTGTTGTTAAAGGGGTACTCTAATAATTGCTGGTGTGAAAGTAAATTGCTATTACCATTCTAGGGAACGATTAGGAACTATTTATCAAGACCACAGAAAATGTGCATATCATTTAATAAAGTAATTCTATTTCTAAGAATTACAGCCCAAGGAAACAAAGATGATCACTACAGTATTACAATGAAAATGTAAAATAACCTCCATATCCCCCTAAGAAACTGGTTAAAAATACTAGCAGGGTAAATTGATATAAAGAAACAATATAAAGCCATTAAAACCACATTGTAGAATGTTTACAGTGGTAAGAAATTTTTGACAAAATATAAGAGAAAGCAAAAGATAATTTTATCTTGGATTTTTAAGAGGTATGGAAAACAAAAATCAAACATAAACTATAATTCAGGATGATGGAATTAAATGCAATTTTTGTTTTGGTCTTTACACTTTATTGGGTTTCCCAAATTTTCTACATTAGGTATTTCTTTAACCTGAAAAAAAAAATTTCCTTAATGATGTGAAATATTTTTAAATGCTTTTATAGTCAGAAAAATCTTTATAAGGTATGAAAAAATTTTAAATGACTATCACCTGTTTTAGAAATAAAGCTAATGTTACTTTTTTTACTGCACTCTGAAAATTCAGTTTCATGTTATTTAAATATAAGTATTATATACCATGTCATATGCATAAGAGAATGTTTACATATGTGTACATACAACCATATGTACATTCTATACTGAACATGAATCAGAAAATAATTTCCTAACCAAACACAGAGAATCTGATGGCCAGAGTATACCAGATAATTGAAAAATTATTACCAGAATATAGCGCAAATTAAATAACAGCTATTATTTTTATTGTACTTTTGACTTTTATTAGAATTACACAAATAACCACCTCAATCCTCTATTTCACATTATACATGTAGACCACGGACAACAGAGAAGTGTCTTCATTCTATTTCCTGTGTCAGCTGTTTGTAGTTTAAGAACAGGTTATTCATGCACAATAAGAAAATGTGCGTGAGAATCTGATTCTATTCAGTCAAAAAGAAGGAAAAGAAACAATGTAATATACTTCAGATTCAAAAGAACCAAGAGAAAAAAGAAAAAAAAAGTTATGCCTCTAGATGGAGGTTAGCGTTAATGCTGTGATATTAGAAAACTTGCACTAAGACTCTGGACTAATCCTCTCACACTGGGATTTCCTCCTGTCATTACAGCAATAAAAAAGCTAACAAAAACATTAAATATCCAATAAGCAAGTTCCTACAGCATTCAACATTCTTGATTATTCTCGGTTTTTTACCCAGGAAACAGAATGCTTCACTTTAGAAGAGTTGATTCTCTTAGTACTAAAGCTAATACATGCATACAATTGACAGAATTTTTAAACGGCAGGGAGTATAATACTCTTTGTATATAAGAACAATTTGAACTCTAAAAAATTCACAATTTTGATTCACCAAAAATAACCTTAGCTTGGCAAATGCAGGCCTTTATAATTTCAAAGAATACCATCTGTATTTGAAAGAAAAACTTACTTCTCAAACAAAAACAATTTAGCAAAACACAAATGACCCAGTTAAAGCTACTCACAAATTATGACCAACAAACTGTTGATTTGTTATTTTTCGTTTAATTGATGATATATTGTTTCTCATTTGAAATGACAAGTGATTCACATCTTTGAAAACCACTACACCTTGTAAACTTTGACAAAAATTGCACTCTTAGCAAAATTTTGCGTGTTAACAACTTACTCATGTTCATTGATATAAAGTTCTGCAAGTTCATGCCAGGCTTCTTGGTCTCCAACAAATCTGGTGGTAGGAAAGGGAAAAAAAAAAAGTAAGTGTGTAGACATTCTATAAATGAACAGCATGGAGACAAACAGGAAAATCAAATGCAAATTCCATTTTAATTAAAAAAGATTTATCAGAATAACAAAACACAATCCGCTTGTAAAACACTCACTGTTCCAGATACTCATTCAGTTCCCGAATGGCCTCCACATTTTTCCCCTGGGCTTTTCGAATGGCAATCTTACGCTTTCTTGCAGCCTATGGGTTGACATTAATAAAGGATTAGGCCCTCATGATTCCTTGGGTTTTTGTAAAGAAGGTAATTTGACTGTGCAAATTATTATCTCAATGCCAGTGAAATTCCATTGTAGAACTACTGCTTAGTGGGAGTTTATAAACATGCCCCGTGACATCCCACTGGGGAATTCAAACATTCCTCTAACAATCACATATGCTTTACTTTTGATGCACACAATGTATGCATCGTTTCATCCAAATAAATAACTATCCAGATTCTGATAATTACAAGCCAGCAGGGAATCCTAATCTTTATCCAACTTAAAGTCCTTCACTCTGTCCCATTCATCAGATCTGTATCTTGAGAGGTAGAGGGATAGTGGAGATTAGGAAAAAAATCTCACCATGGTCACTTGAATATCATTATACAAATATGGCTTCTGACAACTTTTTTCACAATTTTAAGAGAAAAATCTACCTGTGAGTCTTTCAAAAGAAAAATACAGGTACTGAAAGAAATATTTTATAATAAGCAAAACATTTGAAACTTGCATTTTAAAGTTATTTAAATGACAAACATAAAAACTGATGCCATTTATTTATGCATTCATCAAATACGTATCAGACTTCTATTGTTTGCCAGGTACTGTGCTAGACAATGAAAAAATAAGAATAAAAAAGAAATAGATAATTCCTTGCAGGAGCTCAGTCTCATGACAAAGACACACCAAGTAAAAAACTTTATTGCTCTAAGGGGCAATGATAGAGATATCTACGGTGTCATGATAACAAGGAGGAGATCCTAACACAGGCTGAGGCAGAATGGAGGAAGTGGAAGAACAGGAAGCAAAGAGGGTCCCAGATGTGATACTTGTACTGAAACAGAAAGGGTGGTTACACATTAAGGAAGCAGAACAGGAAGATATGTGTGGACATTGTATAATATAATAGGGACACATGAGCAAAGGCATAGGAGAAAGCATGACTGTGTATAATCGAGACTACAAATTTGAGGCTGAAGTGAACAGTCAGGGACTGGATAGCATTGTATAAGTTATATTTATGTCCCTCCATCTCTGCTTAATTCAAACACAGAAGGATAAACAATAAAACACACTATAACTAGGGTAAAGGTAAGCTTACTATGAACATAGTTTCTTATGGTTTTATATAATACACACTCCAAAAGATGCAGACATAAGTAAAATGGATGGGGCCTCTCTAGAGTAACAAGAGCTACATGTCCTGGGGTGGGTAGTGAGTGATTTGGCTCTGAAGAAGTCAAAGTGAAAAGTTTAGAGAAATCAAGAGACTCTCCAACAAATTAGGGCAAGAGCAATACTTATAATAATTCTGATAATATTTTGGTAATAAAAAATGATATTTTAAGAATGTATATCCTTAATTATTTGGGTCATGTCTAAGACCTAGAACAATGCTTGCCAAACAGTAGGCACACTCAAATATAAAAAGCACCACAATAAATGTAAAGTTTACAAAGTCCCAAGAACTCAAAAGAAAAGTAAAAGTAAAGCTCTGAAAGTAACTCAAATCCTAAAGGTAGAATATTAGACTTGGGAGCCTTGTCCCAAGTACGTCCAAAAATATTAATAGACGAGGGATAAATTAACATATAACAAACTGATTTCTTTTAGGCATATAATATCTGATCCAGCACCATTTGAAACATAATTTATTCTCTTCATTTTTCATGACACTACTTCTTCCACCAGCAATATGACAGAGCAAAAAGAATCTAGGTTTTGAAATCAAAAAGACAAGAAGTTGAATACCAACTCTTGTTACTTAATCAGCTTTTTTTAACCTCTCCAAAGCTCAGTATACCATCTATCTCCAAGTATATCAAGGCATAGCAATTAACATGATACCTATCTTCCTTTTTTTTTTTCTTAAAAAATGTTCCGTTCTATGCTTAACATTCATGTGTTAAGCCTTGCCACAAAGCTCTAGGAGATCTTTAAAGGACTGGCACAGACTTACTTGTTTTATATTTATATCTTGCCCCAATCCTTAAAGGACGTGCAACAGCTGAAATGAGATACTACAGATGCAGTGAAAACTTGTAGAACATTTTGAATTCAAATATCACAAATCAGACAAAAAGTCAAAGTATAACTATGAATAGCAATTAACACATCTTTAGTCTTAGTATTAATAAGAAGTGTGATATGAACACTGTAATGGGCATTGTCAAGCACAATATAAGTTTCATGAAGAGTGTACTGAAAACAACTGACTTTGTTAAACTCATTTTTTTCAGTTATTTGACAATAGAACCATTCCTCTACTGTTGAACACGTACTGAATTTTTTTGGTCAGCAGCATTCTACAGAAGACAGTTTGTAAAGCACTGCCCTAGAGTGTTTCAAAGATAATTAGTCTTTTAAAATGACTTTTAAAGGATAATACTTTCGAAAATGATAGGGAAATAAAGGTGTAATCAACTTAAATGTATCAAAAAAGGTAGAATTAGGAGATCCAAAATTTCTGATTTCCATCCTAGATTCTTCTACAAGACTTCCTGAAAGGAAGCTGAAATATTATAAATTAAATAATGTGTTACTGTTATTTTGAATGATGCGAATTTGTGGTGGGAGTAATGTTATAACTTTGTAAGAATTATGTAAAACAGAAATTTAGCATTAACTTTGGAACAGCCAATTTTAAAAACTAAGAGCTTTTCTGCCTAACAAAAACTTCACTGAGGTACAACAAAAGATTTTAAATACAAGGCTTTCTTAATCAATTTGGGAAGCATGCCCCACTCTATCATATGAACCTCATCATGTAAAACCTGAGATACAGCATTGTAGGTCCTAATATTCTAAAATTTAAAACAAACTTTTAAGTGGTAACCATTCAGCTATGAAAAGCCAATCCTCCTTTAAGCTGCTATATGTGGCAGCTTAAAAAAAAACCTACTCAGCAATCACTATTATATGAGCACGGTTACATTATTAAGTCATATACTTTTTACTAAATAAAAGCCCTGTCCAGGTTATTTCTTTTCAAGAAAAATAATACCTCATTCTGGCATAAGTACCAATCTTTATCATGATCATTTTAAATTAGTATTAAATGGGGACTTAATTTTCAGCCAAAATAAAGTAACAGGGACCAAATTTACTCCTCCTGCCTTAAGCTACAGGACAGCAGGCAATGAAGGACAGTAATCCCTGAGAAGTGGGAAACAAACCAGGTAAGCTCTATTTTTATTGCCCTGGCTCACTGCCTTGAGGAAGCTGCAAGGGTGCTGCGCAGGGAGGGGAAAAACAGATTGAGACCAGAGAACTCCCCAAGTTCAGGAGAAGGAGCTGAGAGTCCAGGAAGATCGAAGAGGCAGAGTACCACAGAAGAATAAAAGTACAGAATAAGGACTCCGGAGCTCTGCAGAGGGTTCCCCTTGAATACTCAGCTTTGTACTGATCAGTGCATGCGGGTGAGGAAACTACCCAAAGCCAGGGAAAGAACCACCAAAAAAGTTTAGGGGACACAGTGCCCAGCTGTGCCCCTGCTACCAGCCAGACTGGAAAATGGCAGGATTCACTGGGCATTGGATAGAGTACCCAGAAGGTTCTCACCACAGTAATGGCAAATAATTAGCCTCAAACACTATTCTGATCAGGCTGGGAAACTTTTGAGGATGATGGTTTCATTTACTATCTTGATTGTGGTGGTAATGGTTTCACTGGTATATACAAATGTCAAAACTTATCAAATTATACACCTTAAATATGTGCTGTTTATTCTATGTCAATTATATGTCGAAACAGTTTTTTTTAAAAAAAATCATAGACTAAATGTTAAGTAAAGTCTTGAATATTTATCCACTTTAATTTTGCATTTCTTTCTTGTACTTCTGTTCCTGTAAAATATGCCAAAGTTCTAAATTTTTCTAAATATCTTATTTGGATCAATCTTTTCAAAAGTCAATTTAAGTCTTAAAAAAAGAAAACTGCTCTACATTTTATAAGTGATTTTAACATTTGGAGTTAAAACTTCTATCATAAAATATGAAATTTCAAAAAGTACTCATTATGATATGGGATAAATTATAAAAGAAAAGCCATTTAAAATCTAAAAGTTTTATCATCTGCTTCAAAGTATATCTAAATTTTTAAATAAACACAGAATATGTAATGTATCATATGTAAAATATACAACCAATTATAACAAAGATACTGGTGCAAAAAATTAAGATGAAAACAGAAACACACATCTCAGTTTTTGCACATTCACAAAGAACAGTACTAGACACTGAAGGAAGCAGATGTTCAGCAACCATCTACAGAATAAATGAATATGTCACAAATATTACAGCTGGAAAGAACCTAAAGTGATAATTAAATTTCATTTTACACAGACAAAAACCAAAGCCTACGGCTCCTGAATCTATATGCTTATTTTTTCTGCCATAGTCTCTTACTCTCTGTACACTTAGTACTGAGCTGCCCAATTCCTTATTCATACATCTAACTGTGAATAAAAAGTCAAGCAGCATGTGCCCCAAAAGCTACACAAAACCCTGGGTTTCGAATGATTACCAGGCAACCGAATAAGGTTCAAAAAAGGATTCTCTTGCCTTTTGGATCTTACCCAGAGCACAAAAAAAAGGCTTATAAACAAGGCAAATTTCCTTCTATCACAGCTTCCCTAGTATAATATTCTATAAAGCAAAAATTATGCTTAGGAGATTTTAAAAAATAAAAACAAGTTATTATTAGACTTCACATGCTCTTTGACGGTGGCAAGTACAATGTAGTTAAATAACTAAATTTACATAATGAAATTTCTGTGGGGGACACCTGGTTGCCCATGTATATTAATTACCTAGTCCCAATTACATTCATTACCATTGCTTCTTTCTTTCTTCATGGATTAATGGTCTTTAGCTCTGGCATCAAACTGCCTATTCAGAGTTTCTTACTAACTGTATAATCTTGAGCAAGTCACTTAACTTCTCTGTGATCTTGTTTGCCCATAAAATAAAGACGATATCT